CATTATTTAAAAAAAATATTATCATTGTGCACTTCTTCTCTATATTCTCTATAACTGTGGAAAATTTCATACTCCTCCGTCCGCGCAATTTTCGTAAAAAGGGATACAAAGTTTTTGCTTCACGTATTAAGGTGGACAGACTTGGTTAAGCTATCTACGAAGTGTTCCCTTACTGAGTGTACACGTATCGCCACAAATAGAGAATGATGGAGAAGTCTCTCAAAAGCCGCAACCAAACATTAAGACTTACGTAACCACGACCACTCCGCCAGGAGTGAACGACTGAGAAGAAGAAAAATTAATATATAGAGTTCTTTGAATAAACGATTTAACGAAAAACATTGATTGAACTTTATTACCACCATGTTTAATAAAGTATTTTAAATGACCAACGAGGTTCAATTATAATCCACGTGCTGAGTGAGACAAGAAACTATTTTTGATAGTTATATCACCGCTATAGCTCTTCTATCTATTTTCGATTTTTCATTATAACATACCTATAGCATATAGTGGAAAAATAAAAACTGTCAATTTATTTTCGTAATTGTGTATTTGGGTCTATGAAATATTTTTTGTAGCTCTCCTTAAATTGGAAGCTCCATGAAACCCCTTAAAATCCATCCGTCAAAAAGTGACGTTCAGATATCGCGTACAGACTCTGCATACGCCGTATGCACATGTTTGCTTTAGTTAAAATCTTCTCAACAATCGATCAATGTCAACGAAATATTCCTAGATACTCGTATTATCACCGGTGCGTTGACCTGTTCGTTGGATTTCGTAGTTATTCACACAAAACACCGTTGTGACTGTAAAACTATCTCGTAATACACACACATATACAATACATATGTGTTTATCTGTACGCGATACTTATCTTGTTTGCTTTGACAATTTTTAGAGCGTCTTCATTTTTTGGGGTTCTCTGTGAAAATGTATCCAGTTTTTCATAGTTTAAATTTTTAAATTTAATTCTGTCTGACTCTTTTTTTTTTTTTTGCTTAGATGGGTGGACGTGCTTACAGCCCACCTGGTGTTAAGTGTTTATTGTAGCCTATAGACATCTACAACGTAAATGCGCCATCCACCTTGAGATATAAGTTCTAAGGTTTCAAGTATAGTTACAACGGCTGCCCCACCCTTCAAGCCGAAACGCATTAGTGCTTCACGGCAGAAATAGGCGGGGTGGTGGTACCTACTCGTGCCGACTCACAAGAGGTCCTACCAACTCTTACCTATCTATCTTCGCCATCAGGGGTACTACATTTATTTTGTACTATATTTCCTTTAGCCTTGTTTTTATTGCCCGTGCAGGCAGACGAGCATACGGCCCACCTGATGGAAAGTGGTTGCCATCGCTCATGGACATAAGCAATGCCAGGGACAAAGCCAAGCCGCTACCTATCGCTTAGTAATGTCTACGAGCCTCGTTTGAAGAAGGACATGTCATAGCGCTCAGGAAACACAGTGGAGGGGAGCTCATTCCAAAGCCGGATAGTACGTTGCAAAAATGATCTCTGGAAACGCACTGTGGATGAATGCAGTAGCTCCAGGTAGTATGGATGATAAAAATTGTAAAAACGAGATGATGGTATCATCTCAAACAATTCCTTATGGAACATACGGTACAGAATATAGAGGGAACCGAAGTCGCCAGAGGTTCCAAGCCTGGAAATTGTACCTAATATTAATAAAATTTCTGTAACGTAAACAGCGGCTTGGTTAGAGGCGTAGCCAGCATTGATGAAGTTCATGGGCGACGTTGACTCTTCTTCATGAGATGAGTCGTATGCTAGTTTGGCATCGATGGTGATTAAAAAACACATCGATCAATAAATCGAAATGGTTAATTTAAAATAAAAAGTGGACGGAATCCTTCTTATAGCGATAGTTTCAACATGGCCAAATTGTTATGAAAAAAACTGCAAAGTCATGTTGTATGTCAATAACTGTGAACAGCAACAACATATGGCTCGTGAAAAATTACTATTAATAGGCTTTGGACTTCAAACGATTCAGAAACAAATTATTCTAAATGCTGTAGTTAGGTCATGAGTTAAAAATTGCTTTAATATCCTACTCGTGCGCAAAGACTCATTAACTTACGAGCGTCGTAATTTACGGAAGGTTCAAACTAATTTAAGGAGGCAGTATAATATATATTTTTTTTATTGCTTGGATGGGTGCACGAGCTCACAGCCCACCTGGTGTTAAGTGGTTACTGGAGCCCATAGACATCTACAACGTAAATGCGCCACCCACCTTGAGATATAAGTTCTAAGGTCTCAGGTATAGTTACAACGGCTGCCCCACCCTTCAAACCGAAACGCATTACTGCTTTGCGGCAGAAATAAGCAGGGTGGTGGTACCTACCCGCGCGGACTCCCAAGAGCTCCTACCACCAGTAAGAAATATAATGTAATTTATGTTTTTCTCCCTTAAGCATTGCACATTTTTTAATTGTCATCTGCGGATCAACGCCACGGTTTTTTTTTTCGAACCATGCATATCGTTTTATAACTAAATTCGCAATATTTCATGAAATGTGAAATTTCCTACTGGCTTGCAATAAAATACGATACTTAACAATCGAAGTGCTGGTACAAATTGATAAATGTTTCGAAACAATAATCAGATTATTGATAATTTACAAGGTTTACTGGATTTTGTTTATTAAGCCATGTAATCAACGTTTTACCCCAAAATCATAGTCCTTCAAATATAAGTTAGGTAAATTCCAAATGTAAGTTTTTTTTTTTGTTAAATGCTCTGAGTTCAACGCCCTTAAAATTATTTAATAGTTTTATGCGTGTCAAAAAAGAAAATCACCTGAACAACTACATAGCCAATTCTTAGTAGTATTCCGTTAAGAAAAAAAAAAACATATTTTTGAATTTTTTTAATGAAAACTTAAAAAAACACGCTTCATTAGAAAACCCAACTAAAAAGTAAATTAATTATTTTTATCCTGGTGATCCTCTTGAGTGTATCAGTCCAAAGTAATTGAATTATTGTCATCGTTTAATTGATATTTTCAAGTTAATTGACGTCTTGAAGTTTTGGTAGGTTGAGATATTTTTTTACAAACATTTTATTAATTTTTGAAACAGGCAAAACTAATAAAAGCATTATTTTTGAAACAGGCAAAACTAATAAAAGCGTGCTAGAAAGACACGTTTGTAATGGTAAGTCAGGTGTAGATCATGTCGTTTATGGTAAATATCCGAGTTATTCTGTGGCGGAGTTGCTGCGTAAACATAGCAGACGTTGTTTATATTGTCGAGCAACTTCTTAAGAAACGTGAGCCGTCGTACTCCAGATGAGATGCCTGCGTTGAGATACAAGTGCTGTTTATTTTCCCCAGCACTCTTTTTTAATCTCGGTCCCATAGAGGAAATTATACGCAGTCCGTGATGTGCTCGAAATGTTCTAGAAAACGTCGCGTTTTCATCTCAGTAAAAGGTTGCATGTAAAAAATTATCTCGTTTCCACTCAAAGCTGCAAATGTGGCTTTGCAATAAATTGTTGAATACGTACCTATGACTATAAACAATTTAATAAGATTTACTCCACTAGAAAATTTAATCGGCGAGTGTTTAAATGTGCTATGTCTGTTAATTATTATATAATGTTTTTAGAACATTTTTCTACTATTATCTTCCACAAAAAATAAGTAGTAGATTTACAGTTCGCTTTAGTTTTGTAAAATTATGTTACGTACACTTTAATTAAAGTCATGTCGAGTGTCCATCAAATATGTAGCCAGATAATGAATGTATGGAAACCTCTGTTAATAAAGTGGGTTTTGGATTCATGTGATTGATGTTTGGCTTGGGAATGGCTACCACGAAAGGGTACGGTTTTAGCGTCTCTTCATGTTTTCGTGGTAGGATGTGTTTTCGAACGTCAATAGACTATTTCGGGCACTTTGTTTATGGATACATTGTACTGAACGAGGTAAATTAATACCCTGTGTCGGGGAAAATACTAACATCATGCCACTCTGTGGACACATTGATAATGAGCAAGTGATAATTGATGTTTTGTATTGTGCGTTAAAAGAAAAGTCAGTGAATAGAAATGATGTGTATATAATATCCTCATCAATATTCAATATCTCTTCAGTTCAGGTTCACTAATATTCATAATTAAAACAGTATGGTACAAAAAGTAACTATCATGATATATTTCTGCTTTACATAAATGCTAATGTAGGATGTCTAGAAATTCACTCCATTTAAAATTTTAAAATCAAAGTTTCTGCTCTAGCGATTCTAAAACTGTTAAAAGAATTAATAATTCCGTATGTGACATGATACTTCGCTTCGGAAGCGGCTAAATTGGGCACGTCTGATAAACGTGGAAATGTCACAGTTAGAGTGGGTCAGTCGGGATTGTTTTAAATTTAAGACCAAATGAGTCTCTGCCTCCATTAATGTTGCAATATTCGGACAGGTAGACTTGCTAACCGGGTCGACACGGCTATACTTGGAGCGATCGAAGCATGCTATTATTGGATTGGATTGTTTCGGATGAATGCTTCTGAATTTCAGCTGCCTTTTCGCGTTCGAGTCATAATGTTGCCTCTGCGCTTCGTTGATTAAAGCTAAAGTAATGAATGCCCGCTTGCTGATTCCCACGGTGGATTACCGTCTCGTTTATTAGTGAAAAGTAAATAATGTTCACCTGTTCTATAGACAACCAAACATTGTAGTCTTAATGAATTTTTTAATTGCTCACTCTGCTTGATTCACTGAATAATTTGTATTTCTTTGTTTGACACTGACTATTAAAAAGACTGTTTATGTGAATTCGGTCTACCTATGTAGAAGAGTTAATATAGAGGTGTAATAATTACACAATTGCTTCAAGTATGTTCCAAAATTGAAAATAAAACACTAAGTGAAGCTGACATAAACCAATTCAAAGACTAAATAAATTAAAGAGAAAACTATCCACTAATAGAAGTGCACTAATACATTTTCTTCTTGTTTCAGGTAGAATTATGCAATAAATTGCACAAGGAGTTCTTTGACTCAGTAACGCTCGTTCTAGATGTGAAGGAAACGTAAGTTAGCTTAATGAGATTAAATCTTTAGATATAAGATTTTATGAATTATTAATGTCATTTCTCGAGGAGATGTAGAATAAATTCTGTGTAAGTGAAAATTCCAGTGCGATTCTTGGAGATGTTTCTTTGTTCAAGTAAAATGTTTTATCGCCGGAATTTATGGAACTCTTTGTTAAAAAAACCTTTAGTTTTCTGTTTAGATCTGGCCTGTCGCAAACAGAATGAGAACTACGATCAATCAAATTCAGTGAGTTCGTTGCGCAATTTAGTGGATGAATGTCGATTTTAGGTTCGAATTTACTGGTAAAGTAATTTTGTATAGTTTGGTACTCAAAGAAATCTATAGCGAAGTGATAGTGGCGTTAAAACCAAAATGTACTATAATAATTTATTTATATATTGCTATTGCTGAATGGGTGGGCGAGCTGACGGCCCACTTAGTGTTAAGTGGTTACCGGAGCCCATAAACATCTAATACGCAAATTCCACCTAAAACATGATTTCTAAGTTTTTACGGTATAATGCCTGCCACACAATTCAAACCGAAACGCATGACTGTTTCACGGCAGAAATAGACAGGGTAGCGGTACCTATCCGTGCGGACCCACAAACTAGTCATAAAACACAATATTAGTAGCTTGAAGATGATTGCTTTCTGCAAATTCACTACAAATAACCTTTGGGTAAAATCATTGTTACGTTAAACACGATTTCAAACTTTTTATTTAGAACGNCCTGCCACACAATTCAAACCGAAACGCATGACTGTTTCACGGCAGAAATAGACAGGGTAGCGGTACCTATCCGTGCGGACCCACAAACTAGTCATAAAACACAATATTAGTAGCTTGAAGATGATTGCTTTCTGCAAATTCACTACAAATAACCTTTGGGTAAAATCATTGTTACGTTAAACACGATTTCAAACTTTTTATTTAGAACGAGCAAACAAAATTAAGAGTGTCGAAATAATGTTAAATCTCAACGGACAATAAAAAGGAATTATATCAGATTTTTATAACGTTTTCTCGAAAATTTAATGTTAACAATTTAGGGACGAAAAAAAATCTCATTGTTAGCATTAAACGTTCGCTAGGGGCGGGCGCCTTAATAATAGGACATAATATATTCAGACTGAGTCAAATAAAATTAGCACAGTGAAAAATGTGAGCCGTCGTTTTACTGCCTTGAGGACGTGTAAGTATTAGCCTGTGTCGGGCGCTTTCCTTTGTAAGAGTATTCAGCTGGGTTCCGCAATAAAACTGCCTACTAGATGTTATTCAACAATTTCCTTTATGGCTACGAAATTGATTAAAGCAATTAAGTGCTTAAAGGTTTCGGGGTGCCTTAAGTAATGACCGCTAACATTGACTATGTCCATGTGATAAATTAGATTGAAGCATAATTTTAGTAGCGAGTAATAAAATTGGTTACATTTTTTGGTTCTCTATTTGCGTTAAAAAAAACTTATGTTTTTTATTGTCATATCTATATATTAATACGTGAAGCAAAAACTTTGTATCCCTTTTTACGAAAATTGCGCGGACGGAGGAGTATGAAATTTTCCACACTTATTAAGAATATAGAGAAGAAGTGCACAATGCTAATATTTTTTTAAAATAATGCACAAAAGACACATTAAATCAATAAAGAAAACGTTACACACACTACCATGTATTTGACGCACACACGCATGCATACTATTTATTTATTGTCAAACTTTTGTTCTTGACGTCTGTTGTTTTTTTTTTTGAATTTATGGCCTGGTACCTATGGACCTTTAGGCCAATTCTTGACGTCTGTGGTCAAATTGAGAATAGATTAAATATTGTTTGTCTTTATTAATATTTTTCTATAGTGTAGTCTTGGCGTTGAAAATACAATCATAATAGTGTACAAACTTACAATTCCAATTGATTATAGTCGAATTTCGACTGCTGTGGGCCCCTAGTCCAAATAAATACGCAAACTTTAAGGCTACATGCAATTAGCCGCTGTCAATTGTGTATTTTTACAATGTTTATTTAAGATATAAATTGGGAAGTGCTCTGAGAAAGAGGTAGTGTTCTGAGGAATTATTCAAGATAATCCCTCCATCTTCTTTTTACCATCATACCTCTCGCCATCGGAAGAGAGTTCATGCGTACTATCTGTATATACATTTATTTTAAATTTTAATAAAAAAAAACATATTTTTGAATATTATTTTGGTAAAATTTGTGGAAAATCTTTATCCATTTACAACTCGGACTGCTTTTTAATTGCATACTATTCTGAACATTTAAGAGTAAGGTTCTTATAATTTACTCATTTATTAATTTTTGATACGTTTTTACTAGCTTTGCATGTATGTTTGCATGTAGCGGAATAATTTTTTTTTATTCCTTAGATGGGTGGACGAGCTCACAGCCCACCTGGTGCTAAGTGGTTACTGGAGCCCATAGACATCTACAACGTAAATGCGCCACCCACTTTGAGATATAAGTTAGAAGAGATATCTAAGGTCTCAGTATAGTTACAACGGCTGCCCCATCCTTCAAATCGAAACGCATAACTGCTTTTTTTTATTTATTGCCCTTGCAGGCAGATGAGTATACAGCTCACCTGATGAGTGAGTGGTTACCGTCACTCATGGATGTTACTAATGACAGAGGCACAGCCAAGCCGCTGTCTATCTGTGTACATAGTTGTATAGTTGTACATACATACATAGTTGTATAACGAGTCTGTCTACTTTACGTCTTTCCGACGCTCTTATCATAACACAAAATTAAAATTTCGACCTCCTAAGCTACTGATCTGCCCGTGTGCATCAGTAGAAAAGTGAATAATTCCTCCTTTGTATTCAACTTTGATTTTCCAATGAGATTAAACATATATATTCCTTTTAAAATGTCGTCCCACATTATTTTCAAGAATAGCAACACTGTTTGTGTTGCACACAAAGGCCTGACACTTCACAATGATACGTTTAGCCATACATTATTTACGGTAAAGTTTAACCATTTGTTTATCTGGCTCTCCAACGGCGAAAGTTTTCTTTCCAGTGAGCCAAACTCTGTATAGTAAATCGTTTTATAGTATTTATTTAAGGGCAGGTAGAGTTTTTGATAAAACATTGTTTTTTAAGTTTTAGTATTTGTAAGTTATGACACGTTAAATTTATGAAAAATAGTCTATATTTTTGCGAGTTGAAACAATTTATTTATTCTATATATTATTATATAAAAATGAATTGCTGTTCGTTAGTTTCGCTAAAACTCGAGAACGGCTGGACCGATTTGGCAAATTTTGGTCTTGAATTATTTGTGGAAGTCCATAAAAGTTTTAAAAGGTAGATAAATATGAAAATACTCGGAATTAAATAAAAATAACAATTTTGTTTTTCCTTTGGTGTGTCCCCCGTCGTACGGATTCCTTTTGTTTGTTTTAAGTTTATTTTATACAAAAGTTTAGGTCTTTCATTTATCGATTGAGGCACTACGAAGTCTGCCGGGTCAGCTAGTTGATAATAAACATCTCTGTTGAAAACATCCAGTATTCGCGGTCCAGGTGCAGTTGTTTTTGTTTCCTATATGTAGCCCGTATTTTATTGGTTAGTTCTTCTCAGTCGCTTGCACTCATGGCAGAGTGGTCGTGGTCGTCATTTCGGGTGATGGTGCGCTTCACCAGACGTCACCATTCCTCGCGTACCGCTGCTCTTCTCGTACGCTCGTTGACAGGAACAGTTACCAGATTGTTCAGTTACAGGATCTTATAGATCACATCTTGACTGCCAAAACCCGAATTGAGACACGAAATCAGGGTCCTAAATGGGACAATATTACTGCTGTCCCACGTCATCAAACATGAATGCTCCTACATGGCAGAAATAGTACAAGCGGTTGTATCGACCTGTGCGATCCCAAAAAATATGTTCTACCACCATCAGTTAAAGGTATTAATTAATATTTTTTATACGTGAGATAGTTTAAAAAATCTCCTATATCATAAAAAGTGTATCTATATATTAATACGTGAAGCAAAAACTTTGTACCCCTTTTTACGAAAATTGCGCGGACGGAGGAGTATGAAATTTTTCACACTGATAGAGAATATAGAGAAGAAGTGCACAATGCTAATTTTTTTTTTAAATAATGCATAAAAGATACTTTTAATCAATAAAGAAAACATCACACACACTACATACCATGTATTTGACGCACACACGCATGCATACTATTTATTGTCAAACTTTTGTTCTTGACGTCTGTTGTCAAATTGAGAATAGATTAAATATTGTGTCTTTGTTAATATTTTTTATAGTGTAGTCTTGGCGAAATTTGTGATTATAGAAGTATAGAATACAATCATAATAGTGTACAAACTTACAATTCCAATTAATTATAGTCGAATTTCGACTACTGCGGGACCTCTAGTTAATGTTAAAATGTGTTATATTAATGGATGCAGTGCTTGATGTTATTAATTGAAATGCATTTCGCTGCTCATCGCTAATGGAATTGTCAAGACTTGACGGCACATTTAAATAATTTCAACGTTATATACCGAGATATTAATACGACTGTTACTAATTTTCTTTTCGTTTGGTAACCTAAAAACTGTTCGCAGTATTAATTGAGTGAAGTATCAAGTAACAGTTGTTTTTGGCGTTAGAAATCTTATGTCATTCGGCTAAATAAACTTTTTTTTATAAACTCTTATCATCATAATCATAATTTTACTCAAGCGGCTTTAATCGAGAAAATTTGCGGCTATCTTTCTCATTCTGAATTTACTTCTAATGACGCCTAGAAAATGAATTTCGACATGGTAAGGAAACTTTTAAAACTCTAAGAAGTTTTAATTTCACTTTTATGTCCAACTGCTGCAGCCGTCGTTCAGTTTTTTTAAAGTTCGCTTGTACATTTAGGAATATCAGCTTGGAAAAGGCTGTTAGCGTGTGCGTTAGTGCCGGGGAAGCATATGAATGGAGTTAATTGGACAATCAGCTTATT